CAATGGGTGTAAGCTGGAACACAGGAGGTTCCACTTAAACTTGAGAAAAAACTACTTTACAGTGAGGGTGACAGAGCACCGGAACAGGCTGCCCAGGGAGGTTGTGGAGTCTCCTTCTCTGGAGACATTCAAAACCCTCCTGGACACCTTCCTATGTAATCTCGTTTAGGTGTTTCTGCTTTGGCAGAGGGTTTGGACTAGATGATCTTTTGAGGTCCCTTCCAATCCCTAACATTCTGTGATTCTGTGATGATAGCTTTAGAGGCTCATATATGCCTGAATGTGGCCTGAGCTGGACTTAGTCCTCAAATAATATCAGTTTAACAGTCTGATCCAAAATACTGAATAATTTATATGCTATAGGATTTTTTCCAGGAAAGTTAGGAATCTCTGAGAGAGAGTCTCCGAAGAAGATCAAATATGAAGATGAGGGCGTTCTCTTGGTTACACAGTCAATGAAACAAAGAATCCCAATTTAAGTTTTCTGCTTTGATATGGTGTCCTAGAGATAAAATTGAGCTTGCCCATATAGGGATTAGGGATGAGCATCATTTGCCAGAGAAAGTTCTTGGCCTTGTGCAGAGCTTTACATGTCTGTATGGGGAGATAATCCTAACTATTCCTCTGCTTTGGAGGGAACAAATATCAGCCATATAAACTGTACTTGTTGGCAGTCATACTGTCTTGATGCTTTGAACTGTTCCAGTATAACTTCTCTGTGCTGTCCCCTTCTTGCCTCTTCTTTCCTTTCCCAGCTTGACTCAGCTCACTAAGGAGACTATTTTAAATCTTCCAGAAGAGCTAAGTGCCAGGGGATTGCAGGTTTAGTCTTTCACAGGTGAGTGAATTAGTCATTACATTAACTATGTCTATATGTCTGTATGTCTATATGTGTTATGCTCTTATAAGACAGAAAAATGAATCATTATAATTATTTCAATAACAGAATCACACCCCTAAGTGAAATAGATAATATATTGCAATTCCAGATTCTGATTGTTTTTAAACTTTATCTTCTATATATTTCCCTGCATTTTCTCTCTTCTTTTTCTGTTTGCTTCTCCCACTTCTCACAAAGTTCTTATCCCTTTCTTAATCTCTTAATTTATTATCTCTCACTTTACCTTTCTTGCCTCAACTGTAACATTAACTTTTACTTTCCCCCTTGACATTGTTGCAACAGCTTCAGTCCAGAAGTATACTGACTCCATCTCTGCATAATCCCTTCCCTGCTGATGGGAACCTTGAGGTATTTGCACTACAAAGATACAGAAAAGAGTAGGAGCAATAATAACAAAATGAATTTTCACACAGTACTTACACATCCTCTAATGCAACTTCAATTGTGTTTGCTTTAGGAAAACAAAGTAGGTTCCTATCAATGTATCACATATTTTCAGAGTTGTTGTACTCACCTCCAGTCAACATAAGAGCACATTTACACATGCAGTTGTCATTGTCAGCATCTTTTGTACTGAATTCAGCACCATGTAAGATCAGGCTGCTCTGTTTTCCAGCTGTTCCACTGTGACCTTTTAAATAGAGCCTGAAATAGCAAGAGAAAACAATCAGTGTCACCAAAAAGATAAATAAAATATTTAGATCACTCTCCACATCAGGTTTGCCTTGTATGAAGTGCATTCAGAAAATTCAGAAATGTCTTGTGTTTTGGCTCAATCTCTTTGTTGTTCAGGTGTAAAATGGAGACATTTAGGGTTTTTCAGTGTATCTGTAGTAGCACATTGTCCCTGCCCCAGAGCAGAACTGAGCACAAGGAATCTGCACTGGAAAATGCAACAAAGTGGAGGAGTCAGAGACAGAAAAGAGAATGAGGAGAGGTGCCCAGAGATCTGGAATACATAGACAGAATAATTAAGTATTTGAGTGGCTGGTCTCTTTACTGTGGCACAGAAACAGCACTCCCAGTTAACAGCAGCCACATTATTAATCCCTGGGCTCGCAAGAGGATTTCAACAGTTTCAGAATTTTTAATTCCACCATTTACAGCACAAGCCAGCAGCCCAGTTCTGCCAAAGCTGTCTCTGAGTGATGAATGAAGAATAACTTAGAGTTCAAGCCACAAAATTCTTCATGATTTGCAATGCTAAATATCTCTTTTCTTAAGGAGCCTTGTCAACTAGTTCAAACCACAACCACGAGCTAGGAGCATGAGCCCAGCTCCAGCAAATAACAGTGTTTGTGGTGCTCAGTGCTGTAATGCCCAAAGGCAAGCGTTATCAACTGCAGTGATGCTGAATGGAATACCTCTGTCTCAGCAAGGAAATATTGTGGACCTGGGCACATCTGACCTGAGTTCACAACTGCGGGGACATGGAAAAAGAAATGCTGGAGAGGAGAGGAGAGGAGAGGAGAGGAGAGGAGAGGAGAGGAGAGGAGAGGAGAAGAGAGAAGAGAAGAGAAGAGAAGAGAAGAGAAGAGAAGAGAAGAGAAGAGAAGAGAAGAGAAGAGAAGAGAAGAGAAGAGAAGAGAAGAGAAGAGAAGAGAAGAAGAGGTTGCACACAATGGTTTCCCTTCTCTCTGCTGAAGTACCTCTGTGAGAGACTTCACTGGGAGTGGTTGGTCACAGCAAAAACTACTCCCTGTACATAGCCACCTACATCAGACATCTGACCAGTACATTCTTGGTTTAGTCATAAAAATTGCTAGAGGAGAAAGGTATCCTGTACCATAATAGCTTCATATGCAGGAAGTACGAGACAGGATCTCAGTGTCCACTGGAGAAATATGAAGCCATAGTCCTTACATCCAAGGAGAAAGCCCTAGCCAATGGAGCAAGAGAGAGGGGAAGGAGCATCCTTCACTGAAGCTCTACAGGCAGGAATACCTGCCACAGCGCTAATCAAGAACATGATTTCGTATGTAATGGGATAGACTTCTCTAGACTTCTCCACTGAAGAGAAGATGAGAAACATCGGTTCTGTTTCTTCTAGGGTTATTGATGAGGGGCAAGTAAATCTTTTAAATACTGAATGTAAAATGCATAAGGAGCCATGGGAGCAGAAGCAGGACTTAAGTGTGTAAAGCAGGAGAGATACCTCTTTCTCTGTGGGATTTACAGTTGGGACTGCTATCCTAGAATACGGCTTCACAACTTCTCCCACAAACACAGTGAACAAGGAGAGCAGTTATGAGTCACTAATTGTTGTCACTGCCTCTTAGATTGTTGTATTTTTAATCAGTGTCTTTGACACAATAAAAAAGTAAATGCCTTTACCAGAGTGTCATCATCCATTTGTTTAGATGGAAGATAGATACTTTGCTGTAAAGTGATCACAGTGTTAACAGTGGGAGTAGGGATCATCCCTAACCCATTCTAGCTTACCCAGCAATAGTTAAGCCATTGGCATTTTTCTAAGATGAGGAAGAGAGTCTATCCCCCTGATTGAGATTAAAAAAACCCACCAAAAACGACAGTTGTCCCACAGGACTTTGTGTTTGGAGCTCTGTTTATGGGAGGGAGGAGAGGGGCATATAGGCACCATATGGCAACTTCCCTTAATCAAGTGCATGGCTGGTGATTTTTTTTTTTTTTTCTTTTTTTTTGTCTTGCATGCATCTGTGAATATTGGATCCAAACAAAACAAATGTGATTAAACTTGTCATGTAAACTCATTACAGAAGAACCTCTTCTGGATATCCCAGTGAGCTTACTGAGCCCTCTCAGGATGTTAAGGTACAGAACCAGCACTTGGGGCTCTAGCAAGTCTGAGATTCAGACTTTCAGACCAACTTAAACTTCACCCGATTTTTGTCAAAATTATTTCTATATGTCCTTTCTCCATCTTTAAAAATGGAGACAATAGATGCTAAGCATGGACTTGTTAAAACAAAAATTTATTAAGAAAGGAGAACTGTCAGGGCTATCCTTCCCAAGTAGTTACAATGACTACCTTAATTTGATTTTAATGTTGCATGTCACCTGATCTGAGACTGACTATTAAATACCTTTAGTCTTAATCCTTAGAGCAAATTATAGATAGATAGATAGATAGATAGATAGATAGATAGATAGATAGATAAGTACACACATACACATATAAAAAATCTTGGATTAAATATAAATATCATGGATAGGCAAATACCTTTGGATAGCACAAAAATGGATAAGGCAAAGTGTGAGCCTCAATAAAAGATCATGAAGATTGTCAGAAATTTAACAAGGAACAGCCTAGGAACAGGAATACAGGACAGTCATTGAATTATGCTACTGTCCAATCACAGTGGCAATTAACCCATAATTACCATGTTACTCTATCAAAAGATGCTTGTTTTAGACAAGATTACTCTGTCTTTGCTCATGTCCATTTCTTTGCTCCATACAAATGAAAGGCTGGAATTGATCCCATCTTCATTCATTGGACTTTTGCCTTGTTTTGCAAGCTGTGCCTAACTCTTTGCAGAACAAAATAAACTTCCCTGAGGTTGTGTTGATAGAAAAATTACTTTGTTACATGATATCCACAATCTGATTTTAAACAGCCATACATTCTCACTATATCAGCAACACCAACACTCACAGAAGTCTCATAAAGTCAGAATAAAAAACAAATGCTGTTTACTTAAATTAGAAAGACAATATTAGCCAGATCATTTTATTAACAAACAACACTACAAAGCCCACTTAGTCCAATAAAAAATTTCATGTAATGTAAGAAAACAATGAAGAAATTAATAATATTTGGTGTGCAATGTTTTCCTCAAAGGGGTAGGGCATTAGGGATTATTTACAAGCTCATACTCTTGCCCTGATATTTTATATTTCACTCAGTATAGATTTAGATCTTGCCAGTTATGTTTGACTTTCCCTCAACACCAGTTGTCTAGTAGGTCTTCAGTGTCTTTAAAAGGATAAAGATTTGCTTATCTCTGAACTCTAGTAGCCTTACCTTACTGCAGCAGTATACTGAGAACCATAGGGTGAAACAGTAATTCTCTTGCTTTGAGCCTTTCTCCCTGAATTGGCATTACCCAAGAGTTTGAAAAAAATGACAGTGCAAAGTTGGCACTACCTTAGGCCAAAATCAGGTCTCATTCAAAAAATCAAAATTGCTCTTGAAGCAGTCAGTTCTTTCTGAGTTTCAGTTTAAGTCCTATGGGTCTGAACTAGCCTGGCTTGAGAAAGCAAGTCTCCATAGCACTAGGGCAACTGATGAGCTGGCTAGTTCCCAGGTAGCAGTACATATCTTACCACTTAGACTTAGTCAATTTTTTAGTATTCTTAGATTAAGATTGGTAGGAGTGAACCTTTAAAATAAACTCTGAACAACTACTAGGACATAATTTCCCTCCCTTAGAAAAAATAGTGGTTCATTGTAGAATTTCTCTTGGTTTTTCTTAAAGGAGACAAAGGAAAGGAAGTTAAAAATAAAAAGCAATTCATTCCATTCAAAAGTCAAGGAGCAGTTTCAGGACTACATCTCCAGTTTTCCCACTTGCTCACAGCAGGAAAATTCTGATCAAGGAAAGCAGTGGAAACACTGCTCAGATTTACAAATTAGGCAGGGAAAGCAAATTCATTATTAAATAAGCAAGAAGAACAAGTCAATTTTATCTGTTTACAGTGGAATTAAAAGTAACAAATAAGAAATAGAAAGCAAATAATGAGTAAGAAGGAGTAAGAGAAATACTGCATGTATATATTAAGATTTGAGAACTTCTTTGATATTTTTATGAAATTCTAAAATCATTATGAGGAACACAGCAGCTGATCACATTCATTTAGAGACTAGTAGCTTTCCTAGTTGATGTACTTAAGAAGAAACAGTACATTTAAAAAAACAATTGTAACTACTACCTCTTATCTAGCATGAGTGTTATGAATTCCTTGTGCATTTTTTCCATGTGATATTATAGTGATAGTAGCTTGGGATCTATACACACAGATGGTGAGGAAGAGCTATCTTAAGCATGTTTTGCTTTTCACCATTCCTACTGTGTGGCACACTCTGATTATCTACAGTCCCTTGAAACCAAAGTAAGGTATATTGTGTGGAAAGAATAGTTCTAAAAATATAACATAAACAACTGCAGGGCAGCCTGAGAAGCCATTTCAAATTTACACCAGAAAGTTTTTCTTTTGAAGTGATTAAATCACCTGGAATTCTTCTTTCAAATTTATACACTTTAGTTGTGTTCACACCGTTTTATGAGTTTAACAGATAAACCTGGGATAATTCCAAACAAATTACAAAAACATTTGTATATTTCTGCAACATGCAGTTATGAAGATTACAACATACAGAGTGAGATATTAAAAAAATCTAAGAAAAAAATGCATCATAAATCCATGTGAAAAAGTTGTGTGTTAAATATTATTAAAAGTGGAGGAAATGGTTTCTGCTTCAGTGCTTCCATATATAGTACCTGGCCTTAGAATTTCTAGTTATATATTTATTTTTACTAGAACTAGTGAGAGGTCTGTGGGACTCCTAGAATTTAATGTTAGCTACTTCTTTATTTTTTTTTCTGTTAGAGTCATTAGAGATCACTCAGTCCTTCATTCAAAGAAGTGAAATATCTAAGTAG